CTGTTTTACCAATGCTGGTTATCCCCCTAAATCCCTTCACATGAGAATGTTATTTAATTAGAAGTGACTGAGAGAGCAAACCTCCTCTAACCTCTCTAACTACCAGGTCTGCTTGTCAGAAATATATTTGAGAGCAACTGGAGAAAAAAACAATGCACAAGTGGCTGAAGGCACATTAAAAGTAGAGATCTCCTTGACACAAGGCTTTTACACTGAAATAGAAAAAGTACTTAACACTTAAACATTTATCAGTTTAAATTCTTAGCTAACTTATGTATACATTAGAAATTAGAGAGTCCAGATGCTACCATACATGATATAAACATAAAAATTTAATTATGCATTTATTAACTTAACTAGCATCTTTCTCTTCACTGATATAGGGTGAGGAGCACCAGTTATTAATGCATGACCATACATTCCATTTTGTAAATCAACTTCTTGACGACAATCTTCTCTCATTCAGGTATCTGTTTATTGTTTTGCACAGCTCAACTACCAAATACAACAAATGAAGTGTAATAAAACCTGGTACAAATTAGACAAATTGCAGTATATATTCTGTCTTCACCTTCTTTTGAACAAACGCCTACAAGTCCTGATCAAGGCTTTCTGGCATCTTCTGCATTGCAAATTTATGTCAATTTAAGATTTCAGTGACTAAGACACTTTATAGGTCAATTAACAATTCAATAAAAAATTCAATGTCTCCCAGATCCTTACAGATGCATATGTGAGAAATTCTGAAATGCTCACATTTAGAAAGAGAAAACAGCATGTAAGCTATCTAAGTGGGAAGAAAGCTGCATATTTGATTTAATCATCTCCTGACAGATTCTTCTATTTTCTGTCAATGTACATTACTAGGACTTAGCTGCTGTTCTTGTAACTACAACACTAAACACTCTTTTCACTTGGTTTTATTGCTATTCCTGAAACAAAACGTGAGCATGTTCTAAAACAGGAGGAACCCATGCAGTTGTTTATGCTCCAGAAGAGTCATGTTCTGTGGTGGGAATGCAAATATTTGTATCTGAGGTGTTTTCAGCCTCACGGTTGAAGGGAAATCTTTCCAAATATCAAGATTACACTTTGAAATAATGCACCTGATGCTTCTTTGAGTGCGAGGCTGGTCAAGATGACCTTGCGAGGTTCCTTCCAACCTGAATTTTTCTGCAGGTCTAATAATTCACTAGAGTTGTGAACTCCCAATATATCTTCCAATCAAATTTTCTCAAGTTTAGCAATAAAACTTTGAAGCAAACACCAGTTATTCCAGGCAACCAAACAAATCCACATGGTTCATGAGATCACATGACATACACTCAGTGGAATTTACATGTTCCTGAGAACTTTGTCATCACTGAACAATGGTGAGAAGGTAATACAGGGAGAGATCTATTTTATCGCATGCTAAATAAAATGTCACCCTCTGTGAGTCTCTCTCAGTCACTTATAAGTATAATACAGGTATCTTATATTGGATTATGAAGTTTTAGACAGATAACAAGCTTAAGTAAGTTCTAGTACATATTAACTAACAATTTAATTGATATGCTATCCTTGAATTTTGTGTATATCTTATAACTACATTACAGACAGATGAGTAGTGAATGTAGCATCCTTCAGTATTGACACTTGTAGCCTTCAACTCACAAACAATTATTTAAAAATGACCCCTGCTAAACAACCTGTTTTAGGACCTCATTCAAAACCTTGTGAAGGCAGAAGAAATTGTACCACGAACTTTACTTATCTGAATCAAGCTTTTACACCAATAGCCACAATAAAGATGTTTTAAGTATTACAACACTTCTACTTATCCCATCAAACTCCCTAGAATCTAGACCCCTGAAGAGACACCTGGATTCCCTAGACATCTTAAAACCAGAGATACATAGGGACTTATTTTCTACACAGTACAAGAATTCAACAAAAATCTGCAGGTGGAATAGTCCTTTTTTCAAGAATGAGGGAATAAAATGCTACTAATCTCTAAAAAAAAACCCAAACCAACCTACAAAAATACAGGCCAAGAGAAAGAATGGTGTTTTTCAATTACTAGTAAAATATTTCTCTTAATCAAGATTGACCCAGAACAGCATTAGAAACCACTGTTGGGATAAAAGAAAACTGACAGAAAGACTTGAAGCACAAAACTATGCAATAAGGTTTTATAACTCCAACTCTGCATTCACTCCAGCTGTACCCTATGGACAGTATTAAACAGTATGAAATGTAATACTAATACAAATTCTAAATTTTACTGCAAGAGGACAATTCCTACTTTGTACATATGAGCCAGCAGTGTGCCCAGGTGGCCAAGAAGGCCAATGGCACCCTGGCCTGTATCAGGAACAGTGTGGCCAGCAGGACCAGGGCAGGGATTCTGCCCCTGTACTCAGCACTGGTGAGGTCACACCTTGAGTATTCTGTCCAATTCTGGACCCCTCAGTTCAAGAAGGACATTGAGGTGCTGGAGTGAGTCCAGAGAAGGGCAACAAAGCTGATGAAGGGTCTGGATGGTAAGTCCTATGAGGAGCAGCTGATCTGACTATGACCAGAAACCTGGGCAGTATGGCCAAGGAGGGAAAACTGGGTGCTGGATTACCTAGTGACTAAGTAGGCCAGGTTTACCATGTTTTTGTCTAAGCGAAGTTTAATTTTGGGATGAAAAAAGATGAATATGTCTACCATCTTGGTCAAAGGACACATGGCATAATCCAAAAGCGATAAAATAGAAGGAAAAAAAGGGTCCTTTTAAAGACATGGAGCATGCTTGAAATGAAATCTAGAAAGAAGACCTCACTATAAATAAAGGAAATGCTGCTATGGGGATGACTCAGATAATTTATAGAGAAGCCTGGCACCAATTTTAGCAATATAACAACACAGTTGATCGATCTGTGTGAAAAACAAAGCAGATTGGTCAATTCAATGCAGTCTAGTATGAAACTTCTGGCCATTTGAAAAAGGGGTCTTTTTGTTTCTTTTGTAATTTAGTATAGGCGAGTCTGGATTTTAGCAAGCTCTCTGATATATTTTCCAGGTGCCTCAACACTGATTTATGGGCTATTCGGCAGCAGTAGAATAAAATAAATCATTCTCTGGCACATTTTGGTAAAAAATTGTCAGTTGGGAATGGAATGACAGCACCACTGAAAAGAAAGCTTTATATAGGCATTAAAAATCGCAACCAACTCAATTCTACCTATTTAATTTTACAGTATAAACAGTTGGAAAATTCACCTTTAGAAAAGGTTTTCTTAGGGGGAAATTACAGCTAGTGAGGTAAAGTTTGTCACCTCAAGAATATGATGCACAAATAAAAATAGCAAAGAGGAAAGACAAATACCATGCCACTTCTGGTTAGCCAGAAAGATACTTGAGCAACTAACTGAATAAAGCAAGTCCCTTTTGAATCTTCCTTTCCATAACTGGAAATGCTAAGGCATCCTGCAATACATGGAACTGCAATATCACAAAAATGGATGGCCTACAACATGAGTTGAAATTCTTGACCAAAGCAATGTTCAGCATTTCCCAAAATCAGCCTTAAGATAGGCCCTATTTGCCAAAAAATACTTGAGGACAAGAGCAGTAATGACTGTTATTAGTTTCTTTGAAGTTCAGTGATGAAAGCCAAAGAAACGAACATACAAAGATCACAGCTGAAATGGTACAAGAATTATAGTCATAACTCCCCTGTCATACTGGCATGTTTGGACGGTTTTTAAACTGTGGTAAACTTGTATTGCAATTATGAAGTACAATTCCTCAGAATAACTCTACAAATAACTTAACATGAGCAGTACTGTACAGTTATTACTAGTTGTCTACATACATTTATTAGGTAATTTTTTTCAACAGACTTTTCCCACCTTTTTTTAATTCATCTTTGCTTTTATCACATGTTCTTCAAGAATTTAACAAAATACTAAAATTTTTAGGTTGTGCAAACTAATTATCCGTAATTTAACCCGTATTTTGAATGGCACATCAGATAAGACCCGCAATTTCACATGTATAGTCTTACTTTCCTAAACAAAATTTGCAGACTTGGGAACATTAGTACAATGTGTGAGAGTTGTGATTGCCTTGTTTTAACAACTTGCAGAGCACTGCTGTAATGAAGCATTAACCCTAAAATAGAACTGGATAAAAATAACAAACATTATGAACAAAGTATCTATTTGTGGAATACTGGAATTAAAGCAGAGGAGGAGAAGTATGCTGTAATGATAATAAGTGAACAAGTTAGCAAAAATGAATACAAAATATGCTTTTAATGTACTGAAGTAGAAATAATTTTGTCATGATTATTGAAAGAGTTAAAAATCAAGGAAGTGATTATTTTTTAAAAACAGAATACAAAAATAGAAGTTTAACGATCCACAGTGTTTGGATGAATTTCAAATAAAAACACCCCACCAAAAACCTACACAAAATTTAAAAAGTCCAAACCCCCAAGATATGGGCTTCCCATACAATCAAAAATCAGGGGCAATAATGATTTACATAAATTACCATCCTTTTCCTTAATTGTATGTGTTTGTGAATTAGGAATATCTTAGCTCTCTTGTTGGAGCTACTAATCTGCCCAGTAAATTCCTGTAACCATCTTAAGATTTTTATGATTTGTCACTTCATGACCCCAAAGTTGCTTGCAATAGGTAATCTGAGGATCAGGAGCACTTAGATCCTGCTACTGCCAGCCTAGGAATGAAGTGCTAATGCAGAACAAAGACATTGCTTTTCTTACAGAGATTAGAGCACAAGAGATCAAGAAACATTGCATGATGTTTAATCAATTTAACAATTCCTTGCAATATACCAGCAAGCTGTCACAAAAAAACTAAATATGACACACTAGAGAAAGAACTAAATAAATTGTTCTAGAAATGTGAGAAGAATAGTTTCCATTGTGCTCATTCTGCCGGAAACTGGAAAAAAACACCCCAAGCCCACAGAACAAATAGATTTTTTTGGAAAGAACATACCTATTAACTCTTTATTTCTGACATCTAAGGCCATGTTTCGTAAAGCTGTAGCAACTGCACATACCACCCGGTCATTGTCTATTCGAAGCAGTTCCACCAATATTGGCAATCCTTTTTCTTTGCGGACAGCAGCACGGATGTACACTGACCACTGCAAAGACACATGGGAGAGTGTGAGGAAAGTGAGAAATCCACTAGAGAAAGCAAGGCATCTGAGGTTATAACAGAGTAAGGGGTTACAGAAGCATTTGGATGCAAAACTCCAAAGAGGGGAAATAATTGCATTTACGATGCTAGGCAACCACTTGATTTGGCAATCTGTGCTAATTTTTTATGGTGACAGAGAAATTAAATGATGAATTGACTTTACTCCTAGCACACCTGGTTACATTTTTACAGCCCAAGTCTGCAGATGACTTACTTTGCATCAGTATTTCATATGCAACATCTAATGACACTTCAGAAGGAAAAATGAGGACAACTATATGTGTGGTTTTGGCACATGTAATGATCCTAATTGGAATACTATTGTACACTGAGGTGTTAGATTCCCTCAAGAGCTGACCTGAGGGTGGTGCAGGCCTGTGCTGTGCCTGGCTGCTGTATGATGTGGCTGATTTTATCAGAGAAGCCCCTAAGCATCTCCCACTTGACAGCTGGTCACGACACCACTGACATGGCCTTGTCTTTATATCAAAGAGAGCAGAATGTTCTCATGTTAACATCCTTTTTATCTGACAATAGAAATGATGAATAGGGTTGTTTACTTCTGAGAAATCCTCTAGGAGCTCTAAAGATCATCATGCCAGTCAACAAGGGATCTGTGCAGTGTGCTGTGACTAGGTGGTCCATCCAGTGCTGCACAACTTGGGGGGTTCCCGGCACCCAAAAGGATGAAAGATTAGCTGTACTACCCTCTCTTCCATTCCACTGTTAGCTCCAGTAGTTGTAAAAAAATAAAACGAGACCAAAACTGTGACCATGTGGTTTTGAAATCCATGGGTATTGCCAAATTTAAGACAATTGGACACCTGCAGGATGTGCAGATCTCCTCAGCATAGCCCACTTCAAAACAAGCCACCTCTAGGCACATATTCCCTCCCATTTCATGACTTTTTCTCTGGAATTTTTATAAAGTTCACTTTCATGCTTCTTGAACTGACAGTTGAAAGGAAATTATTGAAGCAGAGCATCTCCTTGCTTTCAGTGCTATGGCATGGACACTTATCTTGCCTTTGTACCTGGAAAGTGAAGACAAGTTCTAGAAGGCTTTAAATTTCAAAGTATTTTAAATATTTCAGAAACTAGGACAATAAGCCTTAGGATTTTCAGATCACAATGACCCTTCTCTTTTGACAAACCTTTCTTAAAGAACAGTTAAATCACACCATAAGAATAATCACATTGCAACTGCATAACCAGACAAAAACAAATGTCATGAAACAAATCATTAAAAAAGGCAAGCACATCCTCTGTCAGCACACCACGCTTAACCCCTGCATATGGTCTCTACTTACCACAGTTGTGCTCACTTTAAAAAGATAGCTTCTGTTTATATAATAGATAGGTGCCCTGAATAGCAAAACCTGGAATATATATGTATGATAAAAACAGTAGATATGGAGACAGACAAAAACTGCAATGCTGCAGTATCTGGAGTGCAAATTCATTCCAGGTGATATAATTCAGGGAAAAGTGGGGAAAAGGAAAAGAAATGAGCATTTTAAGAATATTGTTTTATTAATTCTTCTCTGTAGTAACTATGCATAAGAAAAGCCAGTTGAACTTTGCTGTAGTTGAAAGTGATAATGGTTATGATAAGCTTTCCAGACAGGTAAGTTAGACAAGGGGTTCTCAGCATCGCTGAGCACAATAAAGTGTCTAAAACTTAAACGTGCTGTCATTTTCTGCAGCAAAGCAAATAGCTCTTAGGTGAGAGAAGTGGTAGCAAGACCCTTGGTTCATCTTATCCCAAGTTCTCTCCTGCAGTCTCTTCTCTACAACCAGTGTATAGGATGGTCACCAGATAAAAAACTAAAACACTTTTTAAGGATCAATGAGTTTAACAGAAAGTATCTGCTGAAAAATAATTTCTTTCCTACACTTTGATTCTAACAGGACATTAAATATAAAGGATGCTATGAAAACACCAAATGAATATTTGTAACCTTCCTGTTTAAATAAATATGTATTTACCTGCCAGTTAAACATATTCTCAGATGCAGCTGGGAAATGAGAAACAGCTCTTTGCACTTAAAAAAATACTGTATTTTGCACATCTGTCCCAGGGGAGGCCTCTGCTGTGTCTGCTGTGATTACAGGGTGACTGTCAGAGTAAGAGTTCATGGTGGCAGTTAGAATATTTTGAGAAAGGAGTGAGCCTGGTGGAGGTGAGAGTTCAAGCTAGCAGACAATATTCTGAAAGATGCTGTTGTTCACTGCAGAAATACATCACAGATGTAGCATCTTCAAAATGGACTATGTGGGGAATCAGTGGGGGTGTTTGTTTTGAGAAAAAAAGCTTTTTTGTGTCTATTCAATACCAGAGAGGATGTAAAATGATCCTTTAGATTATTCACTATATTTTAAAAACCTCCATACTAAAACCTCAGTAAACAGTTTTCCCTTGATATTTCCTTTTTGCTACCAAGGGAAACCACAAGGACTTGTTTCATGAAACTAGGTTTACAACAGACTTCTTGGGATGTAGTATTTTCATCATCTATTCCAAAACAAAAGTTCAAAAGCAATGAATTAAGAAATCTTTTTCTTTTTCTTTTAACCCTAGGGTTAAGAGACATTGCAGGAGAATCACTGAAATAACTCATTATGAAAAAAAGATGAAGTATAAACCTCCTTACTGAATAAATGACATGCAAGCTTCAATTCATTTGATCACAACAGTAAAAAATACAGCTCCAAAGTTTTCACAGGGGAAAAATCCAGATATAATGTTTTATAGACACACATAAGCACACATATACATAAAACAATGGCAGAACTACAGAAAAGTATGTACGAAACCTCCCCTCTCCCCTGTGCATTCCTCTCCCTCACAAGCTGTCTTTTTCCAGAGGATGTCATCTGCTTTGGGAAAAGTTCACAGACTCCTCAATGTGTGATTTGCTATCATTTCTTCTGCTGTTTCAAGTCATGAACCTTAGGCAGAAAGACAGAAATGTCTATTAATTGTTTCAACAGCCTCTGGAGAACTTTCCATGTGGAAAGCGGTAAGAACTGTCTGGTTCTCTTTCCTTAAACTGCCAATTAGGACAAGTCTCTGCAAGCAATTATGCTGCGCTGGGAGGATTTCAGGAAAGCTCAAATTGAGATGCCTCAAAATGGCTATTTTATGCTTGCAGAGAATGGAAAAATTGATTTGCTCCTGAGTATACTGATGATCTTTTTGTTTGCCTAAAGCCATCATGGAACGCGCCTGCATTTCCACATTGTGGGTCAATTGCTAATAGGAGCTCAGTGAAGTATAAAAGCGAAGAGATGAAAACTCATAAAAAAGAAAAGAGACAAAGCATTTGTTGCCTATCAGTAAGTAAATGAGGTACTCTGCCAGTATACTTTATCATCCTGTTACTCCACAAATCAGTGGCAGTGTCAATGATCAAATAACTGTTCAGTTTGTAAAATGAAAGCACTCCTGTGGGAACCGCAAGCACTTTAGAGGAAACAAGGAGCCAGAAAATAAAATAAAATCATTATTGTTGTTAAGGTTATTACTGAGTCTAAATTATTGGAGACAAGCAAAGGAGCCACAATCTGTGCATGAATATGCTTTACTGATAATTGAATTCGGTGGGCATAACTACCATACATCACTCTGAAGGTACATAGTGGAGCTCTATGTCCACTTCCATTAGTACTTCCCTTTTTATTTGTATCACAGTAATTAAGTAGAAAAATACAGTATACCTGAAAATTATTTTTTTGTTTGTCAGTTATTATTATAAAGGACCCTTTCCAGAACTGAATGCCTCTAGGGATTAAGATTATATTAGGCTAAACTCAACAAAAGAGTAATTAATCTAGATACAACTTACTTATATTTTTCAGAAGAACTGAAAAGCTTTTAATCAATTAACTCCTTTCGGTGTGTGGGAAGATGGCCAGAGGGTTAAAATTAGGGGAAACTAAGAAGTTATATTCACAGCCTAACAGAAGTTACAACGGTATAGAAATTATAGAGTAAAATGCATCTGTTACTCCCTGGATGGAATGCAGTCAATATGCTTCACAATGACTCGTCATACAAAAATCAGCACCTGCTAAGGGGTGTGGAACGGAGGGTGGAGTGGAGATGCCTTTGCCTCCCTCCATGGAAATCGCTGCAGGGAGAGGAACATAGTAGTATTTTGCAGTTGATAAGACCGCATAGCACCTCTAAACCTAGGGAGATAAAAGATGTCCTGCTGCTGAGCCAACAATTGTGGCAAAATCTCTCTCCTCAGATGAACGTGGTTCATTAAAGCCTAATAGTAATACTAAGGCACACCTCCATCACAAAGTTACCTGCCTCCAAGGTATGACCACACCCCACCGGGCATGTGCCTTATATTTTTTTGACTGTATCTTTAAAAGTGAAATGAAAGGATTTTACACCAATCAGAAACAAAAGTATTTATGACTAAAGTCACTCAAGTTCCACTTAAACAGGGATTAGGGTTTGTTTGTATGTTGTAAATACGTTTTTGCACTCAGGTATTATCACCAGCAATCTTCGAACCTTAACCTGTCACAATCTGCATCAATAAAGAGTGTTATTTCATAAACTACTAGAATGAGTCCTTTACATGCACTAGCAGTTGCTGGCAGCAGGTAACACATTCAAATAAAGTGGGAAGATCCGCTGAGGAGTCTCCCTTACGTTTCCCTGAAAAGGGCAGTCAAATGACCCTCCAATCCAGTGGGATTGTTCAGTGAAGGGTTCCCATAACAACATGCTGACAGACTGGTCGGGCACAAGGGTCTTGGTTTACCTGGGGCACCTGACAGAAAAACAAATCATTAAGGGTCAAGGAAATCTCCCCTTTTCATGTGACTTAGTGTTTCTTACGGTTTTCTTTGTTCCTCTATGAAGCATCAACATAGGAGACCAAAGCAAACAATAAAAAGATTTCCAGCACAAAATGAAAAAGA